AACAAGTAATTCTTAACACAAACACTAGTAAGAAAATTAGGACAGGCTAGTGCAATGCCTATGTTTTATGCACCTAGTTCCTCAACAAAATTACCTATCCTGTGGTCAGTCTGCATTCCCTTGTTAGCAGAAAAGCTAAAAATGCAGTGTTTTCTGTGACTACGGAGTTAAAGGCAACCTTCCTCCCTGTAGTTTCACTTCCCAGGTAGTTGACTTCTGTTAACACACGCTTCCATTTACAAAACTCCTTCCTAGTCTCATTAACATCCAATGTCATAAGGAAATAATATGCTGTTAAAGCCATAGTTATGTCATTAACTAGGTTTACATAAATCAGAAGAGTCTGGACATCTTTTCCCATGGCAGAAAATAGTATCTGTGAAACATGCCCATTGTAAGAATGACAGCTTGAATACTATACCCCAGTCATAAGAACTGTTGCAAAGGCAACCAGCCTAGCTACTTAAGCTCTCCAATCACTCACTCTCTTCAAGTTAAAGGATACATTCCTATAATTTTAGAAGACATTGATGTTTTAGCAGCATTAATTAGGCAGTCCCTGCCCAATTCATCTGTGTTAATAATAAGATTTTCATTGATGTAGCGAACTGCTTCCCTGTAGAATAAATATAAATACCAGTAAAGAACTCCACCCCCACAAAAAGACAAAATTCTTCCATGTTTTCAGCCCTTCTAAATGTTACCTCAAAGAACACAGAGATAAAAGCAATTCATCTTCTAGGATAGGAACGTGGCATTTTTATGTGATTACAGATATGTGAAATTTAAACAAAAGAACCTACAACCCCCCCCAACCCCTCAACACCACGTCAACAAAACACCATATCCACTTTGCACCAAGAAGTCTCTATTAACAGAGCCACAAATACAGACACAAAGAGCACACAGTCATTGTACCTTAAAGAACACAATGTACTTCAACTGTTTCTTACTTGCAAGCAAGTCTGTATCCACCAATAATGGAGGTGGGATGGATTTTCTGTTTGACCAGCTCATCTGCGTTTTTCAGAAGTTCTGCAGCAATAATTACCTGTTTGGAATACAAACACTGAATATGCATATTCCATACACGCACAATAACTTCCTCTTGGCATTACGCACATTGTAGAATCACAAATAGTTATCCAAAGTCTACTCAGTGGAAGCAAGTACTTAGAACTGGAACTAGTTTCTGACACCAGGCAAAAGCCACATCATTTTGCCTGTCCCAAAGTTGCCAAAAGCCTCAGGTGAGTTTTCAACACACATCTTTATAAGTCCTTAGGACTTAAATTTCACATGGTTTTTAAAAATTAAAAACCTTATTTCAGAACCTATCCCCAACCTTTACATGAAACTGCACTATGCAGTCCCTTCCAGAACACCACCTGCATATGAAAACTAGCACCTCTAAAAAAACCCCCCAGATTGAAGCTCTTTGTTCAGTAATCTACTTAAAAAACCTGCTTAGTCAACCTCAAGGTTTTTTCATTCTGTATAGCTGACCAACATTGCACCAAGACTCGTAATGGAGAAATCAAAAGCCGCACTCTTGTAACAAAACACTGACTTTCGGTCTATCTGCCTGTAAAGCTTTCTACGTACCACTGAGGTTGTCCCATCACCAACTTCTTTGTCTTGCAGGTCTGCCAGCTCACAAAGAACTTTTGCAGCAGGATGTTCCACTTCCAGCAGTTTCAGGATGGTTGCACCATCATTAGTAATGGTCACATCCTAATTTTCAGAAATCAAATACACACATGAAGTGTATTTCTATTATATTTTGACTATTGTGTTTCATAACATTCATACAAATGAATGAGTTTATTTTCTTTGCAAACTACCATATATTAAAACTATTTATACCAAATATCTACTGCTGCTTTTTAACCAGGAGTCCCATCGTACCAACAGAAATGTTACCGCTGTTATCACACAAGTCTTTATTGTTACAAAACCTCATAAAACATCTTGGGCATACCAGATTAGCAGCAGTGCTGCTCACCTCCAATACAGTATTTCATTACAGTTGCCTGTAAAACGGCAAACTTGCCTCATTTGCATGGAATATTTTAAAATATGAAATACTGCTTTAAAATTGTTCTGGTACTATTTGAATTTTTTATAATTTCTCCTAACGTGGAAAACACAATATGCAAGTCAACACCACCACAAGGCCTGACTTTAACAGTGATATTTATTCCCTATTAACTTGCCCAATACTTTTTAAGTGGTGACAAGAACTTACACATTGAAAGGAGACAACTGTACCACATGAACTGCAGTAGCAGATTAAACCAAAACGATGTAGCATACATTACCAGATAACCAGTTTTACCACAGCTCTCCTCCTATACCATCTCAGAACTACTGAAAAACTCAGGCATGTGCATATCCAACCTAGGAAGTACACTAAGTGGAAGCACTTCTACACAGGAATACAAGCTCTCCTGACACTTCTTAAGGAAAGCTGACTTACCCCAATATCATCCACCAACATCTTATCCAGGCCAACTGGACCAAGAGAACTCTTCACAATATTGGCAATAGCAGATGCCGCAGTAACTGAACAAAAAGAAAATAAGTTTTACCTTTCCAACTTCAGGGCAATTCAGGTTTACAAGAAAATATCTCAAGAACCTGCAACTTAGAAACCTGATAGTGGCCTAATTTAGGATTAGGTTTCAGCCAACCTAAACTAATAGCTGGCTACTACTAAACAATACAATCTGCATCAAAGCTCACTCTTCCCCCAGAGGTTGGTTCAGCTAACTGATCTGGCACAACTGCTTGATCAGAAGGTTCATTTCCCGCTGTCTTGGTAAGATGGAAGACACTACCCGGGATCAGAAGAGCAGTGGTGGTAGCTTAGGAAAGGTTGGCAAGACTACTTATTTTGTCAGCAGCAAGCCGTGCCATGAAATTTCACTCTCATTTACTCCTCAGTTCCAGGCAGACACAGAACAACAGTATCACCATGTATCAATTACTAACACAGCTTTCTGTCACAATCAGGTCTGTGACTGAAACAAAACTTATGAAACCTCTAATACAGTGGCTTGTTTAAAAGAATGTTCTGCCAACTTCATATAGGAAAAAGATACAATCAACCTTTTCCTTCAGACCGTGGCAAGCTTTTCTTTATCCCACAAGCATAGCCACTTAATCTGGAAGTTGAAAAAGTGGTAGTATGATGGGAATAGCTGTAACTCAGATATTCACCTTGAACTTCAAACAGTATAAAGACTTTTTATGTTGTTTTGGAGGAGTAATAGCTTTCTGAAACAAAGAACCATTATATCAAAGATGGCATTTTAAGGCAGAATCTTAGCCATAGATTAAGGCTGCTTTTATACCAAGTGTTCTGCCTACAGTATAGCCAGAACTGCCATAACTCTCACAATGGTCAGGAAGCAGGTCTTCAGCTTCTTCCTTTGCCTTTTATCCACTAATTGAGAACAGTCTCGAAACTTGCAGCCTTCCCTCAAGGCTTGGGATAGAAAACCTGAGAGATGTGGAACGTTTTTGAAAACTACATAAGAAAACGCCGATTTTGAGGATGCTCCCCACTTTCAAAAGCAGGCCATATCCCCGTGTTGGGGAGCAGGAAGGCTCCCCAGCGGCCGTTTCCCCATTAAGGCTCCTCAGCTAGTCTACGGGCCTCGCCGGCTCACGCCCTGTGGGGTCTGGATGGAACCGAGCAGACCTCTGGTCAGCAGCGCCCCCCTCCAAGTGGGTGCTTCTACCAAGAAAGGAAAAGGTCCGCGGGGTCTATTCGCCGCTGAAGCGCGGCGGGGGCCCGCGGGAGCCCTCAGTCTCCTCGTGAAGGCTCCAGACCGGCCCTCCCTATGGCCTCCAGTGGCCGGCACTGAGACGCTGGCGGGAAGGGGAGGCCTCTACCGGCCAAGTGCAGAGTTGAGGAAGCACATGGCGGCGGTAAGGGCCGCGCCATGTTACCTTCTTCCTGCCCCTCCCCACACCGCTCCTCAAGCCCACGCCGGCAGAGGCGCGGCCGTTACCGTTCTGCGTGCGGATGGTATCGCCGCTGGTCCTGTCGCCGAAAACAGCGAGGGGACCCTCCAAAGCCGCCATCTTCCCGCCCGGCCGCCGCGCCACACGGAGAGCAGGGGCAGCGCACCTAGCCACAAAATGGACAGAGCACCGCAAAGACTGATGGGTACACCCCCTTCCCGGCACAGCGTGGAGGGGCAGTACACGGCCCTGCACGCACGGGAGGGGAGGGGCCAAACCCTGTCTGCCCAATCGCAGGGCGCGGCACGGCCCGGGCTCAAGCCGCGATTGGTGCCCGCGGCGTGAACGAAGGCGGCGCGCTGGGGAAGGGGCACGAGCTCTTCCAGGAGCTTCTAGAAGACAGGGCGGACGTAGTGCGCATGGGTCGTAGCTCCCGGTCCGCTCCGGAGCGCGGCAGGGTTTGGCTGCTGCTTAAGGGGGGGGCTGTCCCCTACACGTTGTTATGTATTGCAAGAACTCAGGCTAATCCTGCAGCGGGATGGGCGGCATCGCCCGCCACCAGGCGCCGCTTGCGCCCGATCCGGTAGACCGACAGATTTGTAGGCTGCAACGCAAAAGCCGCAGCTTTGCTTTTAGCAACGCAACGCGGCTTTTGCGGCGGCTCTGGTCGCTTTCCCGTGGCCGCTTCTTTGGGTCCCTTTAAAGAGGCGTGGCACCGGGCCTTGCTGGTCGGTATCTCTTCGCGCCATTTTTACCGCGGATGGGGTAATTAAACACGATCTCTTGAGTCAAGGAAGAGTTTCGTGCTCTGTTCCGTAACATGCGACTGACAGCACCACCCAGCTCCCCACAAAGCCTCCGCCGCTAGTTCAGCGCCATACTGCGCGGTGCCCGGGGGTTCCGCGTGACATCATCAACCACCGACGGAAGTACTTAAAGCCGTCTGCCTCGGCAAAATGGCGGCGCCCAGGTGCCCCTGAGTAGAGGAGGTGACTGCCGCCTGAAGCCGTGGTGGTTGCAGGCTCCCCATGGCGCTGAGCAGCCGTAGTCGGCTGTTGCTGGCCGCCACCAGGCCTGGGGTACATGGAGGGGGTAAGCTCGGTTCCCCTGCAGCTCTCTATGCCGGCCTTTTCCGGCTCCTCCCTGTGCTGCCGGCAGAGGTCCGCTCTCTGGGCGATCTCGCGGCCGGTGGCTTGGTAGAACTGCTCCGCCTGTGCCGTGCTCCCGCTTGTAACGGTGATTTCGGGCTGCTGTGGGACGGGGACGCTGCTGGTGCGTCTCCGGCCCAAGCAGGCGAGTAGTCTGACAAGGAGAGGCCGTCACCGTTGTTATGGTGAGAGGCTCCTGCTGACTCTGGGCCGAAAAGTTGAGTGGCAGAGTGAGCTTGGAAGCCTAACTCTAAATTGGTATTTCTTAGGTTAATTAGTGATGATCGGCCCGACAGGATCGATGATTTTTACCTTGTTATTTGGTAGTGCTGCCATTGGTTGTGTACTTCACTTTCAGTATTTTATAAAGCCTTAATTCTGGGAATCTTCTAGTCAAGCTGAATTTATATTTTATGTGCAAGCTATGAACCGGTGTTAAAGCTTAATATACTTTTTTAGTCTTAGCTTACAGTTCATTGCAATAAATTGGAGAAACTGAAGTCTGGTAATCTATCTGTTGTTTGGGGTTTTCTTAAAGCAGATCTTGCCCTGCTAACTTTTACAAGCTGCGTTATTCTGTATTGTATTTGTTCTATTGTCTGCTTTTTTTAAGTCTCTGGAATTTTATTTCCTGCTTTCCCCCACAAGGTCTTCGTTTTGCATCAACTACAGCAAGTCTCAAGCCTGAGATCCAAGTAGACACAAGCGAAAATGAGATTGTTGCCCCAGACTTCACTAACAGGAATCCTAGGAACTTGGAGCAGTTGGCCTTGGCTAGGAAAGAGCGTGGCTGGAAGACAACATGGCCAAAGCGTGAATTCTGGCATAGGTGAGTCAGAAAGCCACCAGCAGAAATGAAGACTCAAAAAATAAACACAAGATCTCCTACCCAAAACAGCAGCAAAGAAAGCCACCTAAAATAAAATCCTAGAAACCCACCAGGTAGAAGTTCTATGAAATGTGCCTTTTGGGTTGCTGAATCAGTTTCCTGTTTGGTTATTCTTAATTAACGGGTATCTACTGTGTTCAGAGAACAGTAGGCTAGCATCACATGAAAGTTAGCATATGTGTTCAAGATCTTCCGATCTGTTGTCAAGGTAGCAGTAATTTTGCTTAAGCCAGTGCTGTTTAATTTGGGATTCTCCTAGTTCTGTGGTGACCATGCATCATTGTTTTATTTGAGGCACCATGATAGATTGTTTAGGTGCTTTTGTTTTCTTTTACTAGAAAATGCTGATTGCTTGTCCCCTGGAAAATAAGTTCATCTTAAGCTGGGGATTCAAAAATTATTATTTTGTTCTTGAGGGGAGAATCACATCCAGTTTGTTCATACCTGAAAATCTGGTGTTGTCTCAGTGCAGTAAGAAATAGTTGCTCCTAATACCCTGTGGTTATGTGTTGTGGTTTATGAAGTACTGCTTGACCACGTGTCAGTCCTGACAAGTTGTTTCCCGCTGTGTAAGCACCACCCTTTAAGAGACTGCACAGCACACCTGATGTTACATTCCTGCTAAGGCAGTTCCGCAGCCCAGCTCATGCATACCTATACCACACTGTGGAGCTGCATAGTGCTTGGTTTGGAAGGACTGCTGGTGTGGGGCAGTGTAGAACCATGCACCTGAGTAACTGGGGAGAAGTTGTTATTGGAATTTCACTCTCTCAAGCTGGTAATACAAGTCCTATTTTATTTCCTAATAAGCAGAATCCTAGATAACAAAAGCAGTATTATCAATTCATTACTAATAGTCAGAGTATATTCATTTTTATTTCATGAAGTGAGTCACTTATGCATTTAAGCATTTGAATGGTATCTCTCATTACATCTGGAAAAGACATGGTAATCCCATGTTAGTTCTTTCTCTCACTCAGGTTACGGCTTGAGCGGACACAGCATTATGTAGAAGCCTTTGTTGAGCGCTCTAATGGGGATGTTGTGTTGTCTGCCTCTACCCGGGAGTGGGCCATAAAGAAACACCTATACAGTCCCAAGGGAGTAGCAGCGTGCAAAAACCTTGGCCGCGTAATGGCACAGCGCTGTTTGGAAGCAGGAATCAACTTCGTGAACTTTAAAGCTGTTATCCCCTGGGAATATCATTGTGACTCGGCAAGTACCATCTCCTTACACTCACTTGGCTCTTTTTTCTTTTTAAGCATTTATTTTACACCTCTTCACCATTAGTTTTTATTTTGTGGCTTGACAGTGCCTTCTTGTGATGCTCAAAAAGGTAGCTTTGATAAGCTGCAGTTCTGTTGTTATGCTTCAGTGAAGCTGTTACCTCTGCTCCTGCATGCTACATGTCTCCACTGATACTTTGGTGCCAATGACTTTTCTTCCTATTTATTTATCTCCCTCTTTTAAACAAGATTCAGGAATTCGAAAAAGCTATGCAGGAAGGTGGTGTCGTTCTGCGTGAGCCACGAAGGATCTATAAGTAAAATGGAGAGCGCTGGGAAAGCTTCACAAGGGACGACAACCACTTCTTTAGGTGTGCGTGCTTCGGCACGGTGAAGGTTCAGAGCTGGAAAAAGCTTGAACATGGCATCTCATAATAAAATATTTTTGAACAGATGGAAATGTGTCGTTCTTGATTCTAAAACTATCAACACCTTTAAGGTTAGAATAAATGGTTACCGTAGTTCAGCCTGAGATTAACAGAATTTACTTCATAGTTCAGTGACTTTAAAGTACATTTTCTGTTTAATACTTGATATTGTGTTTGTTCTAACTGAACTCTGCAAATACTTAGATATTTGATCCCTGTACACTGCTGGTCTGATTTAGCAAAATGCAGTCATTATGTGTCTGTTTAGACCTGTAATACTGTTACGCTAAACTTGGTGAAAAGATTAAATTTTCCTAACTTACCTTTGCAGCTTTCTTGCAACCTTTGGATTCTAACTACTTAAACCTCATCTGTCCAGGAGGGAGGCTGCAGAAATGCCAGCCGTGGGGAGTAAGAAGCCCTTTTCCCTCCCGCTGTGCCCCCTGCTTGGCTGCAGACCAATGCCACCATCCTGCCTCCCTGAGGGATGGGCAGAGCTCCTGGTCGAATCCAGGCTGAATAATCCCCACAGCATGTGTGAGCCCATCGGAGGAGCAGCACTGGGGTTCAGAAGCCACTAAGGCTGGTGCAGCGCTGTGCCTATGGCCCAGTGTTTGTAGACTCCATTACTTTCCTGGGCAGCTTGTTCCAATGCCTGACTACTCTTTCAGTAAAGAAATTGTTCCTGATATATGATCTAAGCCTCCCCTGTCTTACCGCTTGTTACTTAGGAGAAGAGACTGATCCCCACCTCAGTAAAACCTCCTGTTGTGTAGGTGTAGAGTGATAAAGTCCTACCTGAACCTTCTCCAGACTAAACAGTCCCTGTTCCCTCACCTGCTCCTCATAGCACTCATTCTCCAGACCCTTCACCAGCTTCATTGTCCTTCTCTAGACCTGCTCCAGCAAGTCTTCTTAGTTGGTGCTGTTTCATAGTATCTAATAGTGCATAGACAGAGATAGCCTTTGTGCGATCTGGATTTCTGGAGGATGAGGATGCCAACAGGAGCCTATCTGCTTTCCCGATGAGCCAGGCCCTGCGGAGCGGCTCCTCAGCCAAACCTCCCCACCTGTTCGCTGCAGCCGCGCCCGCCAGCTGCCTGCGCACTGCCCGGCCCCTCACCGCCACTCCCGTCCCGAGGGGCGCTGCCTTCCCCATTGTTTTAAGGCCACCCTTAGGCCGGGGGAGAGGGGAGGAGATCATGGACGTGGGGGCGGCCGACTTCTGGCGGTGTCTCCCGCGCCTGAGGGGCCGCATCCACCGAGCGGCCTTCCTGGGTGAGCCGAGGTGTGAGGGGGCCTGCCGGCTCGTACCGGTACCCTCAAGCCCCGCTGAGCGGCCGGGGGCCCGGCTGGAGGGGCGCGGGTACTGAGGTGTACTTCAGCAGACAATAGCGCTGCTGTGAATTCTTTGTTTTAAAGCGGTGCAGCAGAGATCGGAAAGTGAGCCCTCTCTGTGGTGCTGGGTGGGGGGCTTGGGGTGTTAGTTACTGGAGGCATAATTCAGAGGGTGAGGAGGTGGTGTGAGTGACCCCATCCCTCATTCTGTCACTGGGGTGAGGGAGCAAGAGATTTCTTCACACAAAGGTTACGGTAAAGAGAGATGTTTTGGAGATCCTTGCTCTGATGCTGGTGAAATGCATGCTTCATTTTGATGTATAGTGGGTTTTTTTTGTGTGTGTGTGTGCGTTCTTTTTACCTCAACAGCCTTTGATATGGAGTTTACTGGCTTACATTCATCTTCCCTGCAAAATGACAAGCTCAGGTAAAGCTGCTAGACTTCAAATGGGAGGGATGCTTGCTGCTCTAGCTCTGTGTGAGCAACCCGTGTGTTGCAAACCTTGTTTCCACACCCTTTCCCCCAGTTCTGATTGTGTTCCTAGCCTGTTTGATTCCCCTGTGGAGCGGTACCTGAAGGCCAAGCAGAGTGTGCAGCACTTCACTGTTACTCAGCTTGGTAAGTGCTGCTCTGACACAGACAATAACCTCCTGAGATCTCGGTGGTAACTGGCCTTTTGCCAGCTCTCAGGCCCTGCAGGTAGCTCTGGTCTTAATTCACTCCTTACAGAGACATTTGTTTGCTGCATTTCCGCTTTCTGGTGTTTAATATTATCACCTTTTTAATATTGTAAATAACGTAAAGCCAGGTGGGCCATATATTTTTTACTTGTCTAAAGTTAATATTAAAGATTGCAGGTAAAAATACAGGGCTTTTAAAACAGAGGATGCAAGCAAGAAGTAGATGATAGCAGCTCCTGTTCAAAGTTGTGTCATTTGGTATATTGTATAAGTAAGGAGACTATCAGAGGAAAATGAAGGCTAGTATTTCTATATTCCTAAAATAATAAAAAAAAAAAACCCAAACCCACAAGAATGGTCCTGTAGTGGTGGTAGAGGGTTATTGACAGTTAAGAACCAGTTAAAGGTCAAGAAATCAGCTCCAAAACTGTTTAAGATTTGTTGTTCAAAGCTTTAGGATATGTAAGATTTTCATAGAATCACTGAATGGTTTGGGTTGGAAGGCACCTTAAAGCTTGCCCAGTTTCAAACCCCCTGCCATGGGCAGGAACACCTTACAGTCGACCAGGTTGCTCCAAACCCCATCCAACCTGGCCTTGAACATTACCAGGGATGGGGCAGCCTCTCTGGGCAACCTGTGCCAGTGTCTCACCACCCTCACAGTAAAGAATTTCTTCTTAATATCTAATCTAAATCTACACTCTTTCAGTTTAAAGGTGTTACCCTTTGTGCTACCACTAGTGTGTTGCTTGGGGAATAAGAGGGAAATAACCCCAAACTAACAAAGCCAACCTCCAAACCCTAAGTAGTAAAAATCATGTCTCTGTCCTTTGTGGTGCCTAGCTCCCTTCAAATGCTTCTGTAGTGTAGTTGGACCCACAGACCTGTGTATGCATAGTTTGAGACTTTCATCATCAAATCACCTCTTCTCATCCATTGCTCAATCTATTTGCTATTTAATCGGGCTTGACTCCTTTTCCCACTTAGCACTAAAAGCTTGTCCCTGTTCAGCTCTCAGGGAGCTGGGGAGTGGCCTGGCAGTTAATGCTGTTAATGATTTGCACTGTGCCATTAGTGAATGGAAAACGTGTACTCCATCAGGGGATCTCCACATCCCTTACCTAATCTTCAAGACATCCAGCTAAACACTGCCATTTCAACAGAGGTTTCTCTCTTGCAGGGCTGGCAATATTCTCAAATGAAAGTTCAAACAAGTAAGTTAAAAAGCAGTTTTCTGTTACAGTGAAGACAGCACAGTTGAGATTTTATTCTCTCTCTTGGGAGGAGTTATTTCTAGTAACAATTTTCCAGAGAGATTTTTCTTTTCACTGTAGGTATGTGGTGCATTCATACAACTTCTTTCTCTTTCCCTCAACATGGGGGGTTACGGATGTCGAATTTACCCTCTCTGCATCTAGCATGCAGTTCCTGTCTCATTATGGCTTTGACTATAATAAGGTATGTAATCTCTTTGACAGAAATCTAGAACAGAGGAATTTGTGATTACAGGAGAAATTAAGATTAATATCCCTAAATGCTGCATTTCTGCGGTAAATGGGATCTTGCTAAAGTATGAATGCATGAGTAGGTTCATTATCAATGGGGAGAGTATGTGCTGGTTTTTCTGAACTGCCATAGAGGCAATAACCTCATCTTTGTCAGGCTAAGACATTTCCCCACCTCAAAAAAAAAAAAAAAAGAAAACTTGTCTCTGGTGATCTGAAGACTTACTAAACTTACCTCAGGGGGAGTCTTCACTAGCACTGAAGATAGGGAAGTCTTGGTTTATCTGCTTTCTAGGTATTACCACATTTCCCATAAAATTTAGACTGTGTCATCACGTAAGAGCAATATTTAGCAGTTTTGGACAGGAAGTATTGTGGTATTTCAACACTTGAAGTATCTCATTAAAGGAAAGGTAAAAGCAGAGCAGAAAAGAATGATTACAGTTAACAAAAATCCGTCCATAAATAAATGTGTTCCTTTATGTAAGAATGCAGCTTGGATTACCTACAGTTTGTATGTTTGGAGAGGATAGTCTGAGAATGAGAAACATCTGCATCACCCAAGTGTATGCCAGTTTTGGACCTGGCTCATCTGCTATTCTCTAATTTGCTACAAGAAAGTCCAGGGGAGAGTAACCAACCTGGCATTTTTTCCACCCTTCAGTTCCTCAAAGATGGAATCCCGTATATGAATGAGGCACAAGAGAAGATCCTTCACCAGCATCTCTTAGAGGGTAGCAGGAAAGTGAGCAGGTGAGTGCTACTCAGAGAAGTCACTCCTCAGTACTGTGTTGGCAGTTCACCTTCGCTCAAACCACCGTTTGTAGAAATATTAAAGGCTATTGGTCCAAATGCCTTGCTGTAGCTGTTCCAGCATGCTGTGGTCCCTCTGAAGGAAGATTGAGATCACAAGATACAGTCTGAAGAATTTGGATGACTGTTGTTAAATGATGTTTTTGCATTCCCACAGCAAGGTACAAGGCTCCATCTGTAAAGAGTTTTTTCTCAAACTATGCCTCTTTCCTCCTGGTCCTGCTCTAGTGCTCTGGACAGGGATGTGCTGAAGAAAGCTATTGATGAAGTGACCTGTTGGATAACTAAAGCAGAGGAAGAAGAGATTATGATTCTGCAGGATCTGAGTGGTATGAAACAGGGTGCCTCCCTTAGGCACCTGCGGGTTCTGAGTGGCTTCATCACTTCTGAACCCCTGGCGCTGCTACTGTCCTTTGCTGCCTGTTCTATTAAACTGCTCTGTTGAAAGGGAAAGCACCAGTGCTCATCCTGCCTTTACATCTCTTGTGCCCCTGTCAACACCTCAGTTCCTGCCAGGCATTCATCTCTGGGGTCTGCTTTACTGCTCCATTGGGACAGTGGCTCTTTCTGTAGTGGCAGTGGATGTCTAGGTGCTTGGAGCATACTTTGTGGTAACTTCCATTTTGTGCTTCTGCAGAGCAGCAACTGGAGGATTTGTAATTGCTCTGAATTAGGACAACTTTGTTTTAAATCCTGGTTGATCTGTTTTTTGTTTGCCACCTTAGTCTTGGAGAAGGGAAAGGCAGGTCTCCCTTCAAGGTTAGTCTCCTCATACGTGGAGCAACAGGAGCTCCATGGTGAAATATGTATTCCAGTGGGAATAAACAGGCTACTCGCCACCTGTACTAGCTTTCTGGAGTATAGTAGTGGAGCTGAGGTATTTCTGAAATTCTCACTGTGCATTTTTTGTTTTCCTTTGGTTTCAGGCTATCAGATGCTTGAAGTTCAGCTGGTTCTGAGAGAGGCTCTCCAAAACGTTTGGACACAGCCTCTTGGAATCAAGAAGGTGAGATGGAAATGTGTGTGGACCTTTTGAAATGATGGTTTCTATCCAGACTCATAGGACTGGCATTCTTGCAGGGACTCTGAAATGTTGCTTGTATTTTTAATGATAAGGTCCAGGAGAAGGAGAGAACAACGACTAAGGAATGTCTTGGAAGTCTTGATTGTGGGATCCCAAGAGGAGGGATCCAGAAAACAGTAACTTTGTGTCCTGTAGCCACAAAATGCCTTGAGCTGGAAGTACTTGTCCTTAAGGCACTCCTGGAATCCTCTGTGCCTCAGGCTTTGTTAGATCTCTCCTTCAATACCTCCATAAGAATGTATAGATTTTAGCTTTTTATTGTGGTTTTCCTTTTGTTGCCCTCTGCCACATAGTTGCTTTGAAGACTTTTGGAAAGTCTGTTGCACAGCTTGCTGTTTTTCTATTGACTATTACTATCTTATGTTTGGTGCAATATTTTCTGAATTAAACCTATGGCTGTGGACTTATCAAAATATAGTGTACGATACCAGGCAGTTGCTTACAATAACATTATCTTTGTCTGGTAACCACTGTAAGCAGAGTGACAGGTTTACCCAGCTTTCTCACCGGAAGTATGCGCCTTTGGGGACTTGGTTTGTTGGTGGTTTTTTTTGATTGCTGTTCATTTCTGGGTTTTGTGCCATGAACTTACTGCACTGGTGTCAAGTTAAACTGAATTTTATTAGTTGTGCTCCAGAAAAACCTGGTAGGAACCATTCTCCTAACAAGAGAAGCATTAATAAGACACCCTTCTTATTGCTGGAACACCTCCATATGATCTCCATATGGAAGAGACGTGGGACAGTCCTGAGGTCCCAGGTGATGCACTGTTTCTTCATTCTGTGTAGCCTGGAAGCTGAATCTGTCCTCAGCATTACTGAAAGCCAGTAAGCAGTGTACATGCAACTAGCTGACACTAGGCTGGGATACCCAATGACTGCTCTTTTCAGGTAATGGTGAAAAAAGTGAGTCCCCAGCATCGTCAGCTTCTGGAGAACAATCCTTACGACTGCTGCCAGAAGGAGCTCATTCTCCTGTCTGCCCGGGGCTTCACCAACCTCTTCCAGATACTTGTTCAAGCCAAGAAGGTAAAATGGCTTATCCCTATTGTCACTTTTTAGCTCCATTTTTGGTGGATGTAGAAGGATGAAAGAAGATAAAGTAGTAATTTGTATTAAATGACTCAAGTAATTCAGTGTGATCATTCTCTTGCCAGTAAAACTGAGATGAATTCTTAGATTGCAGCCATGTTGAGAAAAAATGACTATTAAACACTACATGTTACTGACCAGGTCCCACTCCAAAAGCATGCTCATAATTGTGGATCCAAACACTAGATTTCCCCGTTACTTTTCTACTTGTCGTGCAAACCAAATGCAGCCAGGGTAGAGGGAGCCAGAACCCATTCTGCAATGTGGTTCTCTCTTCACTTTAGAAAATGCAGGAGTCTGCAATGTTAAAAATCCTTGTGTTACACAGCATGAGTCACCATCAAAGAAACTTGAGCAGATTCTTGCCTTTTGGGCAAGTTATGCTTTTCAGCATGTGACAGATTAGTTTACTTGACTAATTACATGTGGCAATTGTTATGTTCTGTATGGAGATTATTAAATGAATTTCAGCTTCAGGAGACTATGGGTGATGTGCATAGGCTGTACCTGCCCTTGTGAGTGAGCTTATAAATCTGATTGATGGAAGATTTTACCAGTGCTCAGCTGAACTGAGACTCCACCTAGCTCCTTACATCCACTGCAAATAGAACGCTGCTGAACAAACACCCTCCTCAGAGAGTCCACAGGTCTGGTCTCCTGAAAGCAGTAGTCCTGTGAGCATTACAGTCTGCTGAGCATGTCTAAAGTTGGTTATCTCAGAGCTCTCTTCAAAAATACGCTCCAATGGGCTGTTATGTTTGTTTTTTCTGTAGCCTATGGTGGGACACAACATGCTCATGGACCTCATGCATCTTCATGACAAGTTCTACAAGCCCCTTCCAGGTAATGCTGCACATAGCTGCTCTCCCTAGGCTGCTGCCTTTACAGCAGGGATGGGACAGTAGGCACTATAGCCACTCATCACCCGAGCCACCCACAGCGCTTAGCAAGCAGCAGCACTAGTTGCCTCTTCTGAGCTCTTTACTGCTGGAGTGGTGCACTGTTCCTCTGACTTCACCTCTCTTATTCATTTGCAATACCATTGGCTTTTCCCCAGTTTTTTATGATGTCTTTCTCCACATGTGTTTTGCTTTCAGAAAGCTATGAGGAGTTTAAAAGGAACATTCACAACCTGTTTCCTGTCCTAATAGACACCAAGACTGTAACAAAATCCATATGGAAGGTAAGTCTTTGGTTTGGAATCAAAGCTTGTCTTTTACCCAGAAGAGAGGATGTCTTTTCTTAGTGTCCTGTGGTTACAGAACTGTTCTCTGTTGCCCTGAGACATTCTGATTTTTAGATCTCATTTGATGAATTAGCAGTAACTGTAAATGAGCTCACTTACTACAAGGTCTGTCTTGATTGGTTTTCTAACATGTTCTTCTCTTATAGGAATGTCATTTTCCTCGGGTATCTAGTCTTATGGAGGTGTATGCAGTTTTGTGCAGGTAAGTGGTGGGCTATAAGGCCTTCAGCAAACCCTTTGTTTTCTTGGGAAAGATATTTCTAGGTCAGTAATTTCACATGTTCATATTTTCCCTCCTCCCACATATTTTTCAGCTGGTTTCTTGTTTTTCTAAATTTAAGAGCAAAATATTTGCACATCTTTTCTTATAAAGCGATTGTGGAGTAAATTATTTGTTCTAAGTCACTTCTGGTATCATACCACCAATAACTCATTGGTCACAAGTTAGCCTTGCAGATATCCTTACATACAACTTTGGAGCTGGATGTTGCTTATGTTGTGTTATGAAATTAAATGAGTGTGTTTCAGTTCTCTGTGAAAATACACCCCAATTTCAAATGCCAGCTCCCAAGAAAGGGCTGCACTGATCCCAAAGCAGTAACTAAATACAATGTTGAAATGGAGCACAATAGCAGATAGCGTATGTTATGAGTTTAGCTGTGATGTGGTAGAGTTCTCTCTAATTTTGCCTGTTTACTCCTAAGAAGGAGATGTACAATTAGTGCTTATGAAAAAAGTACTGTGATTCTGAGGTTGGTTTGTGGGTTTGTTTTTTTTTTTGTGTTTATGTGTATTTGTTTTCAGACTGAGGAGTCTTAGAGGTCTTGTGCTTGCTTGTTCTTTCTTTTGTTTCAGTCATTCCATAGATATCTGTTTATTAATCTATCTTCCAGAGTTCCCCATTCAAATAGGACCATCTACTTAATCCCTCTCCTTGGAGTTTTCCATTGTTTTTGTTTTTGTTTTTTTTTTTTTAGTTCTGATCACATTTTTTTGCATGAAGTTGCAGCCAATTTGATGCTTAGAAGATATGACTGTGGGAAGAGAGTGAGGAAATGTTTAGGAATTAGTTTTCAGGAAGAAAACTGGTAGATACTATTAATCTAAGTATCTTTTAGCCTTTTCACAGGATGCTAACAAAGTCCCTTTTAAAGTCTTCAGTAGCTTTTCCTGAAATGAAGCCAACGCTCATTAGAGAACACTAACTTGTTTCTAACATACTGAAGAAAGAAAAATATCTTACACATCCACTTGTCTTCAGCAGCAGCCTAAATCCTAAGGATTCAATGTGCCCTGAGATAGCTCTTGCAAGTGACTGCTCAAGATATGGTATGTTTTTAAGCAAGTCTTCAAAATCAGGTGGCTAAAAAGGGGTTTGTTTTACACTCTGGATGTTTACGCGCAAACCATGAGTGAGTGTCAGTATGTACCCCTGAATTTGCACATACACATTTTTGTCCAGACCCAAAGTCTGGGCTCCCAAAGTGTTCTGTGTATCCCTGGTAGCTGCCAAGGGTAATGTGGGGCAGGCTTCCACGGTCCTGCTAGCACAAATGGCATTTACACTAAGTTGGGCTGAAGTGAGCCTGACTTGTAGATGTGAAGCATTGATAGCCCTTCTACGTGGTGAGGGGAGGTTGAAAACAGTGGTCCTACAATGGACAATAGTGGGAGCTAATGGCAGGGAGGTCGCAGGAGCTTGGTGGCTCATGTGCACGGTTAGTGGTGCTGTGTGTGTGGGAGATTGTGTTCAGTACATGGTGTGATACTGCCTGCAAGGCAGGCATTTCTTGACTTCTCATGGCAGCACAAGGCCTTCTTGTGTTTTGAAATGGTTTCCATGGCCTTGATAACACATGCAACACAATTTAGTTTATATCTTCATAAAAGTTTCTAATGTGCATCTTGCTAAGCTGTTCAGGCATTCATGTAACTGCTGCCTTTTTGCTGGTATAACTTTAAAATGCATGGTAGAAGCATAGACTTTCTATAGGGTGTAAAGGTCTCAAGGTGAGGAAGGAAACAGAGCTGAGGATAGGAGGATACAACTCCAAAACCAAACAGTGGATCTTATGAATGTTAGGACTCTGCAGTGGGGCGGTTTCCACAGCGTGCTAAAGGTATTTACTTGTTTTGGTTTTGTTGGGCACTTACAGCTGAGAAGAAATCACCTCATGAGGCAGGCTATGATGCATTTCTCTGTGGTTCAGGTAAAATTCCTCTTCAATTCCTCTTCAGTTTGTGTTGGGACTCAGAAATACCTTTCCTGCTCTGCAGCTCCATTGCATGCTAAGAAATGTTTGTTTATAGAGAGTCTGTTGCTCTTAGTAACTTAGCTGCACTGAAGTGAGTTTTTGCTGTTTGTTTAGTTATGTTTCTCTAGCTTTGTTCTAATGCCACCTCATTATTGCTCCTCCTAGTTCTTCTGAAGTCAGCCCATTTGCTACTGTGCACATCCACAGAGTGAGTGATGTTTAAATGCTTACTGAAAATTGCGTTACATGGATGGGTCCTATGGGAAAGAGTCGTCAGTTCGCTCTGGCTGACTTTTTGTTTTGAAGGCTGGCTTTCCTCTTGGATGAGAGAAAGTGTTACTGGAAATGTCACTGTCCTAATTAGATTTTTATTTTATATATCTGAAAGTAGTAGCTTTATGTCAAAGCTGACATTTTAAAAATTAAATCAGGGGCCATGTGGTGGTGTGGAGGTTGGGAAATGGCACTGTAACCCCTTTACCCTTGAACTGGCTGTCTTGAGTTCAGTTCACTTGGGTAAGGGTCAAATCATTTTCCATTAGTTTCCATTTTTTATATCTATGTGATTCAGTGCTTTCGGTTAAATTCCTGAGAGGCAACTTTTCATATCCCTTCCCTTTGCTTGCAGCTTTTTGACTTCTGTACGGGATCCCATGATCTGAAACACCTGTTTTGTCACTAGTTAAAGAGCTGCTTTGGGAGCTCTTGCTGCAGAGACGCTGTGCAGCACTGGAGATACAAACCTCTGTTCCATTTTGTTTTCTGATGTAGTGGTGCAGTGGAGGCTGATCCCTCTTTCTCTCAGTATCTCTCCGTGTTAGCCAAGTACCTGAACAGAGTGAACTTCATCCGAGGTGGTGTTTCAAGCACTGTGCGTATGAACAGCAGATCTGTGACCGGTTTGGGGGGTGCGTAGGTCAGTAGCTTAGTTGATGGCTTCATTAGAGGGGAAAAATCCACCAGTGCCTGGGCCCACTTTGGCAGAAGTTGTCATACAAGTGACACAACTGACCTTTCAAAGTGGCAAATGAGCTGAATTTCAACTTTGTGAAATGTATTTATATTGCTATCCTGTAAGATGGCATTAGTCAGCTTACCTTGCTGATTCTCTTGTGGATTCTCATTAATGGTGACTGTTCGCTTTTATGACGTTTAAAAGAATCCTGAGACAAAAGAAACATTATCTTACAACAGCAGCAGCTGTGATGTAGAACCTCTCTTATTTATGTGCTATGTTTTACATATTCCCTGTTTATATCAGTAGTGCTTCTGTAGTATTTCTGAACTCAGGTATGTCTCAGTATTGTCCATTTTCCAGAATTTTTCTGGGGAAGATGTTCCCTGCCACCATCCCCCTCTCCTGGCTGTCTGTGTCCGAGGCTGGCCAGGGCTGAACGAAAGGCAGATTTACCAGGAGTTCAAAGCTCTTTGTCGCTTTGATGTCAGGCGGCTTTCAAAGAACCAGTTTCTTCTGCTTTCTGATAAATTTAAGCAGTAAGTGACTAGAAAGTCTTATTTTTGTCCCTTGAGCCTCTCATACAAACCTTCATCCCACCTCCTCTCTGTTGTGTCAACTCTAAGAGATCCCTGTCCTGAGCTGTGGGATGTTAATAAGCAGCTTGCAAGCTTCGGCTCATCACATTTGCTTTCATTGCAGAGTCAGGCATGTTCTGCGAGATTATAAACATCACCCTCACCTGCGGATTTCCGTCTATCGCCACTGGAGGCACTCTCCGGGCGTGAACTGCCTGCTGCAGTGAGTAACGGACACCACAGGGACCGGGAGGGGAAGTATTCCTTTTGGGGTGCCTGGCCCTGGCACAGCAGCAGCCTGCGCTCTTGTGCAGTGTTCTTCTGCCAGCCTCCCAGGAGAACAAGAGGCTCAGGAGCAGATTTGCTTGCTGATTTATGAGCTTTCAGCCCTGGGCAGCTGCACTTCCTCATCCAGATTATCTGGGGAATGTTACCTCATAGATAGCACAAAACTATGTATGTGCTGTCATTATGGACAGGGGGTTATCTTAATGATCTGTAGTTGTAGTGCTGGCTCTAAGAAGCTTGAGGAGAGAGAGGCAGAGTCTCCCAGGGGTGGGATGGATGTGTTTTTCCTTCTTTACAGCAGAGTTGACAATTCAGTAGTAGGAGAGGATTCTAGATTTCAAGTGCACCCCTCTCATGAGGTGGTGACAGCAGTGGTCATGCAGGGTGAACTTCTGGCCTGAGACAGTTTGGAAAACAATCTCAGTGCTTAGTAAGAACAAAATTAAACCCTAAGTACATGTAGCCTAACAGCATTTTATTATTCTTGCCCTTTAGAGTCTCTGGTGTTGTGGCACTGTGGTCTCTCTTGGCCTTTGTACTTGGAGGAGCTCCTCGCTGCTTGTTCTAAAGCCTTACAGATGTGACATGAGGAACTTCTTGTTTGTCTATGGTTTGTTTTGTTTCACTTCATTCAATAAATTATGATTAAAGAAAAGCTATCAATGGTGGTTTTAATTGCTTTCTTGGAAATGTGTTTTCAAAGAGGATGTGCTGGTTTCCAATTTGTTGTATTTTTTTCATTTTTTCAAAGTATAGTCCTCCCTAAGAAGGAGATAGGCTTCTTTCAATAACTGATTTATTTTGATCCTCTGTTGGTTCTTGACAGCTATTCATAACCCCAGTTTGTTTCCAGTGCTTGTGCTGCTGCATAAAACACATTTCTGATGAAGTCTGGGAAGTTATGAAATGAAAGAGGCTATTTTAGCTTCAGTGGTAAAGGAGGGGAAATGTCACTGTTTGCCAAATGAAAATGAGCAGAGTTGATGAAGAAACTACTCTTGGGGCTCACAGGAGATGCTGGGGAGTAGTAAATAATCTGCAGTGCTGTTGATGTCGCGCAGAGGTATTTTCATTGGCAGGCAGCATAGCTGAGGGTAGACACAGGTAAGTGGAATTTATCAGCTTCCAATCTGTATAATACATCCAGGTCAGGTGAGTTGGCACATACTGCTGTTTCCTTCCAGTGCACAGCATGTGATCAGTCCTTTATCCAAAAATACCACGGGGCATGCTTTGTTGATCAGTTTCTCTGACAGAGCTGGAGTATTTGTCAGGCCGGGGACTGTGCACTTCAGCAATCTTTCTTAGTAATTTTCCTTCTCAAAACCAGCTTCCTAATCCATGGTTTGCAAATAGCAGTCCCTGGATTTCATCGGTCAGACCTAACTGGATGGGCCCCGTGATCATCTAATGTGTAGAATCTGCCTTTAGTTGACTGTAAGATGGGAGTTGCTGCAGGCCACCTTAAAGCAGCAACAGCAGGGTATTGCGCAGCAGCACAGTACTGCGGTGTGCCCCAGGATCATGTGCTCTTTACTGCTAATTGTTTGCTGCTCTCCAGGAGAAAAGGGCAGTGTGTCTTCAGCCATGGTTCTCAGGTTCTGCACAGTTTGTGGCTTACAGCTCTGATTTCACAAGCCAGCTCCTAGCCAGACAAGTGACTGAGTTTTTGATGATCTTTTTCATCTCTTTATAGTAACCCCTTCAGCGATGGGGTTCTCTGTCACAGTGTTCCTTCAGCTGCCAGTGTAAGTATCTCCCTGTTTATTTTGTAATGATTTTTTGTCTTTTTAGCACCATTAGACACTCCCTTTATGTCAAGAAGAGCACAGGCTTTGTGTGTTGTATAGATCGCTTGCTGCCCAGAACCTTTTAAAGAGATCTGTCAGTTAATCAATCAGACATACTACACTCAATTCCCATGAAAATGGATAGCTGGGAGCTAGTCTGTCAGCAGCTTCTAGCTGTGGGAGCAGATTTGCAAGTTTTTCTGAGAGGCTGCAGATCAAGGTAAAGTCTCCCTGAACATGCCAATCTGGCTATTCCAACCCCAGCTCTTGCTTCTGCTCCAGAACAGGGAGTTGTTCCTAACTGAAGTTGAAAGTATCAGAAGTAGTTCAAGTTATGCATGTTCCTGTGTGTCTTCTCCAAGAAGCAAGGGGTACTTCTGACTCTGGTGAAGCCATCGCACCGTGCTGCAACCTGCCTTGTAACTCTGGCTCTGAAGATGCATGGGTTAAAGTTGCTGAGTGGCAGCTCAGAAAATCAAACCTAAGACAAGGATAAACCCACAGCCAAGTCCCTCACAGCAGTTCCAGCACACCTGCTTCTCAGCACTGTGAGACACTCTCACTTCAGCTGCAAGGCTTTAAAGGATAATTCTAACCCTCAAGGAAACAAGATGTTAGAATTCAAGTTGTGAAGGTGTGCACTGAAAGTATATCCCTGCAGCTGGAGCACTGCAGATCACAATATATCTTTTTAAAAAACAATTAGATTTTTAATACATTGGTTTTTATTTGATGTGTTCAAGATTAAACGTGGGGCTTGAGAGAACATCTCTTCTCTGGGGAGAAGGCAGGGAAAAGGCAATGCTATCTTAAATATTCCTTCGTTTTTGCTTCTCGTGGCTTCAGTGCTGATACAGCAGATATACACTGGCACTGGAGGAGAGCAGGGTTTACCTCTCTTAAAAGTCATGGTGTTATCTTTATATAGAAAAAAAAATTCATATACTCCTGTGCTTTCCAACAGTGTGAATCAATGATTCTTCTTAATATTATGCACTCATTCCTAACACATCATAGATTAAAACCTTGGTGTATCTTGGAATGGTGCGGTTGCAAATGTCTTGCAGGATGAATTGAGTGAAACAGTCTGGTGCCAAGTGCTTGTATCACTCACTCCCTTGATGCTAGGTAGCCTGACAAGCCAGAATGCCTTTAGCTGTATTGCAGCATCACAGCTGGTTCAGACTTTTGTGTGCTGATGAAGGGTATGCCCTAAACATGGGAAAACCCTGCTCTACAACTGCTCTCTCAACACGAGTCTTTGCTGTTCTCCATGTGCAGCAGTAGATCTGACTTTTATTTTCTGGTTTTATATCCCTTTTTCCTATGGCTTTTCCCAGCAGCCCCTCTCTACTGATTGCTGTGATCCCCACCACTGGAGAACTCCTCCCAGAGGATTAATTGAGGGGGCAGTGCATGAAATGTTGTAGCCATATTTCTTCAAACACTCCTTATGTTTAAAGGACCTTATCTGTGCCTTAACCCTAGAGACACGTGGAGCTCTCAGGGCAGAAAATGGTGATTTCAGGGCACACAGTGGGGCAGGCTGAAAGCAGAGGCTCAGCAAGGATGGAGACTGGAAGGAAAACACGTGCAGACAGAGGTCATGGAAGAGAAGCTTTTCTGCCAGAGGTCCCTGAGGAGCTGTGAATTCACTGCAAAGTAGAAGGCCATGAAAAGTGGAGAAAAGTTGTAAGGCTGGGATGTGTGGGGGATGAGGGAAGGGTTATGCTCAGTGTCTCTCACCCAGCTCATGTGTGCTTCCTCTTGCTGCAAAACCTACCTTATTGAAGTTTGTGGTTTTAACAAAAACAGTACTTCAATCACTATGTGAGTGCCTTTGGGCTCCCTTTCAAGGAAAGAGCATGGGGCAGTCGCAGCTCTGAGGGGTACTTGGGCAAGGGCTGCTCTCTGTGAAGCAAGGCACTACACACCGAAGTGCTCCCATGCAGTTTGGGCAGGGGAACAAGACCTGGATCCTCAGCATGGAAGGATTCAAGTGTCTTTCCCATTGGCATCCTATCAGGCAAGTAGTCAAATCTTCTTGCAACTTCTCCCCAACAAGGTGAGCATTTAGAGATGAACAGACAGATGTATCACTACCAACAAGATAGAGATGGGGCTCTCTGCATAGGACAGCCAAGGGCCCCCTCACACAGGAGTGACTGACACTGTTCTGTTTCTGGAGCAAGTGTGCTAAGCCATAGACCTAGACTTTCTGCAGCTAAGCTTTAAAAGAAAATGGCAATAGCAAGTCTGTTGGCAAAGAACCTAATGTCAGTGCTCTAAGTTAGGCTTGCTTTCAAAATATCTACGGCTGGAAATCTGCAAAAGGCAATGGTTACAATCCACGAGAAACGTGTGGTATCCTGGCAGAAACATATCCACTTAAAAACCAGCCAAACAAACAACAACCAATAGTGCTGTTTACAGCACGAAAATGGGTTATTTACACCACCCAGGCACACACAAATTGAGGAAATCCTACAGTATTACTAAGTTTGGACCTGGTCCAACCCATTGACACCCCTGATATTCTCCTGTGTTTCTACACAGAGGGAGAGTAATTGTCAATCCTCATTCCATATTTTGGAGTAATACAAACTTAATTTGCCTGTCCCATAAACCTTGGTGGTTGGATCAGACAGAGCCCGTACCATGGTCTGGGCTTGCTCTAGATGCTGCTAGAAATCTCTTCTTTGCCTCCAGCTTTTGGTTACCAAAGTTCACGCTGTCTAGAATGTCTCGTTGTTTAAGAAGCTGCTTGCTAACAAGTGCAGCCAGCGTAACCAAATCAGGCAGTCTTCCACTCACCCACTGGAACTCGTTTGTGCTGTGCATGGAACACGTACAATGGGCTCTGCCATTCCTACATGAATGTGAGGATCTGCAAACCCAGAGGCTCCCACAGTTGCCTGCAGTGCTCAGATCTTGCCCCCTCCCCTGGGATGCAGGACTGAAGCAGCTTGATGTAATTGTTCCATAGGGCCACTGGGTCATGGGAACCGATGCCACAGAGACGTACTGGGCTCCTGGGCCTCCCCTGTGGTCCTGCAGCCTCCAGCAGTTGGGCAGCCTCCAGGGGATGGGCTGGGGCTGGGGCTTGGCAAAGGGTGTCCAGGGGCTGGCCGCAGCCAGAGGCATTCCTGTGGAAGGGGGGATGCTCTTGCTCCACAGTTTGCACTGATGAGTATCTGACGTGTTGTAATTTAGCAGGAAGAAGAGATCGGTGGTGGGGGATAGGAATGCAGCTAATGCTCTTCCTAATCCCACAGGCACCTGTCACCAGCTTCAGACTCCCAAACACTTGTACAGTCTGGCTGGCACCTCTGACTCCACACACTCTCTACTGAGTGTCACTGCTGCAGGAATCAACCATGCCTGTTGGTGGCTGTTGGCCCATGGCAGGGTCACACTGAGCAGGAGGCAGAGCTACTGCTGCTGCACAAAGCACTGGAGATTCTGGAACCTTCAGCTGCACATCACTTCCTCCTCGCTGACGGTTACTACTTCTCTCAGGGTTTTGCACATTCACTCTCTAATCTGTAACATCAGCACTAAGCCCATCCAGCTGACCAGAGACAGTGCAGAGGGCTGGAGCAGCTGACATGAGGAGCTCATAGCCTGCAGCAGGGAGCTTTCACCACAAAAACAGGGCAATGTTTTGAAAAAGAAAAGCAGAAAGCAGATACTTCACTTTAACTTTCCAAAACCTGTCTTTCTTTGCCAATGGAAAATGCTTTGTTTCTGTCACACTGTGGTTCTAACAACACCACCCACCGCTTGTTTCCTCTCCCTTCCAAATCTGCTTGTACTGAAGGCTGTCAAGTCTTCCTCAGTGATCTTGTGCAGTGACTCGCTGTCTTTAGAGGC